ATTTGGATCTTTTTAATTGGTGTAAATTCCATGCGAAAGTCATTTTTTCCTTTATAGTTTTATAGCATGTTTGGTTTATCGGTTTGAATTGAAGTATGGCATATATGCATCCTGACTAGTTTAGCTTTTTTGTTGGGTTCGTGCTTGCAGTAACACCTCAGATGCAAGAGCAGAGGGTAAAAAGCGCTGCTGTTGTTACAGATCTCAAGCCTCGTCCACCAGAAAATGTATCCGTTGAGAGATTACCTGCAAAAAGTGGATCTGTAAGGCACATGAAGTCCCCTATAACTTCCACATCGTACACAATTGCTTCTCTCCAAAGTGCAACAAATAGCTTTAGTCAAGAGTTTATAATTGGTGAAGGATCCCTTGGCCGAGTTTACAAGGCTGATTTCCCAAATGGGAAGGTAACACCTTTTAGTGTTGCATTTGTTATCTACCTTCATACTTCATTTTTGGAATTTACTCTTGTTATGTATGGATGAAACATGTCTTTTAAATTACCGGATGGATCTTCAATTGTTTGAACTGGTGCTAGATGAATCTGATGTATTCATCAGTAATTCTGGTTTTGCTTCATGCTAAATCAGTGTTGTTTTAACCTTTCATTTGGTTTGAATTTCTTAATCTTTTTGTTCTTATATTTGTAATATATATTCCTACAGGCACAAATCATAAATCATTTGACTTCATATTTAATAGTATTTGTACAATGATTCATCTATCTTTGTCTATCTCTTAATTTTTTATTTTTTTTTACCATCATAGATATTATTTATTTTCTTATTATTTTTAATCCTATAAAATAAAATTTATGGACATTACAATATTCTTATGGTTCTGATATTTGCTTGTTTAGGAAATGGCTATCAAGAAAATAGACAACTCTGCACTGTCATTACAGGAGGAAGACAATTTTCTTGAAGCTGTGTCCAATATGTCACGCCTGCGGCATCCAAACATTGTGACATTGGCTGGATATTGTGCCGAGCATGGCCAACGACTTCTAGTTTATGAGTATATAGGAAACGGAAATCTGCATGACATGCTCCATTTTGCTGAAGATAGCAGCGGCAAGGCTTTGTCTTGGAATGTTCGTGTACGCATAGCACTTGGCACAGCCCGGGCTTTAGAGTATGTTTCATGTGCATATTGGACATATTAAGTATCTCATGGCTACTCAACCCTCTCGTTTTCCCCTGTAGTTTATTTGTTTTAGCCTTGTAGAGTGAGTTAGCATATCACATAAAGCCCTTCACATTTCTTTCTTGTGTTATGCTTTGTCTATCAGGTACTTGCATGAAGTTTGCTTGCCTTCTGTTGTACATAGAAATTTCAAATCAGCAAATATATTACTTGATGAGGACCTAAATCCTCACCTGTCTGACTGTGGTTTAGCTGCTTTGACACCAAACACAGAACGGCAGGTTGGTGAAATATTTCCTTCATACACTGCAGAACATGGTTTATGAATCTTCTCTTTGCTAGTTTGCTTACTACATTGATTACAATCATGGAGTTTTAGCAGGTGTCAACTCAGATGGTCGGTTCATTTGGTTACAGTGCTCCTGAGTTTGCATTATCAGGAGTATACACTGTAAAAAGTGATGTTTATAGCTTTGGAGTGGTTATGCTGGAATTGTTGACTGGTCGGAAGCCGCTTGACAGGTGAGCCTATTGGAAAGTAATAATGCTCGTTATTATTATTATCTTTCTCTTCTGTATGGTTCCTTACATTCATTTGTAATTTTTGCAATTTTAGTTCACGGATTCGATCAGAGCAGTCACTTGTGAGGTGGGCTACCCCCCAACTCCATGATATAGATGCCTTGGCAAAAATGGTCGATCCTACTTTGAACGGCATGTATCCTGCAAAGTCACTGTCACGCTTTGCTGATATCATTGCCCTCTGTGTTCAGGTAAACAACTGATGGCTAGCTATTTGTTTTGGAACATACTCCATTTACTGCACTAATGAATGCATTTATTTCTGCTCAGTTTAGTGTTTATAATAGAGCAAATGCTGACTGGGACCAAAGGGCATTTGTCAAAGGAAACGAAAGAAGAAGAAATTTATATTGAATGAAATGAAGAGTGACTCTAGTGTTGTTATACATGACAAATTATACCCCTCTAGTTTAATTATAGTTGTATGAAACTTAGTGTTGGGAAGTAAAAAGCCAACAAAACAAAAAATTTAATTTAGTAAAGACAAGAATGTTGCATTGGATGAGTAGACATATTAACCAAGATGAGGAATGAATGTATTAAAGAGGTAGTTGAGGTATCATCTTATTAGGTATGGACACGTGGAAAAGTCCAACGAGGCCCCTAGTAAGAAGACTAAGATAAGATAGAGGGTAGTCCTATTACTAGAGGTAAAGGGAAGTGTGGACATATTAGACAGAATTATTAATGAATGCATTAGAGGGAAATTTGAGGTAGCATTTTTTGTTAAAAAAACAAAAAAGAATCTTGCCTAAGATTGTATGGCATCTATGGTAGACTTCAGAGAGGTTCCATAACAAGACTAAATCAGATGGAGAGCACTCCTATCTCTAGAGGTAAAGAAAAACCAGAGAAAAAACTACAGGAAAAACTACTAAGGATATAAAGGTGAATGGATTGTATATATACACTATTTAACCATAGAACATTACAGCTTGATTTTTTATTTGTTGCTCATTCCACCTAGTGTGACAAAAGTTTGATTGTAAAGTATTACTAAACAAAAAAGTAGTAGTACTAGTCATTGGATGCATTCAATAGGATGTAATAATACACAGACCCTTATAATAGTCTACATTGTTGACTAATGTGTTGCACGGAAGCTTTTTTTGGTGTTATTGCCAACCACATAATTCTTCAAAAGATGTTAATGGTTTTGATTTTGTACACAGCCGGAACCTGAATTTCGACCTCCAATGTCTGAGGTGGTGCAAGCATTGGTCCGGTTAGTGCAAAGAGCAAGTGTGGTTAAAAGACGACCCAGTGACGAATCTGGCATTGGTCACAAGACCCCAGAACATGAGGCCATAGACATGTCATTTTAAGTGTTGGTGCCTCTACTCTTTTGCAATTTTGTGCAGTTGCCCCGGCTAAATTTACCACTATAAAACACAGTAAGCAAGGAAGGAGTAAAAAGTTTGTGAAAATGTATCAAGCAATTTCATGATGCTAATTCCGTGTTGGATTTTCTTACATTTAAAAATTACTCTGAAAAATAAACTGTATATTTAGTTAACTTTTCATGATATAATATATAGAATATAATATAATTTTAAAGCCCTTGATGCAAAATAGTCTTATAAAAAGGATTGTAGGAATCAACTTTATGAGTTTTAGGCTTTGTTGTCAAGCACCGATGTCCAACCACCGACATAAAGGCCTCGGAAAAGGGTGTGGATGCTTTTTAATTGTATTGAGTTGGGTTATTATTGTGACGGTGCATGCATTTGGGACGGTCCCACTGTTCTCTAATTCCATTCCATTTCTCAAACAGACACGCATTTGGCATTTTCCCTTCATTTTTAAGCACTTTAGTGTCCTCTTCTGCATGACCTTGGAACTATTTTGAATTTACAGAAAACTCCGTTTCCTTTCTAATTAGAGCATGTTTGGGAAGTTAAAATTTGTATCACTGACGCGGAAAGTGAGTTTGGTTGGTTTGAACTGATAATCAAACACTTCAAGTTGTGAGTTCTGGGGTCGAAGCATGTTTGTATTAAAACTAAGTTTAATTTTTTTTTTTTTACTTTGATAGTAATAATTTTCTTCTCAATTTATGTAGAGGAACTTGTACTATTTTCTATTTGAATTTGTAATAGTATTTCTACAACCTAACATTTGTTGAGGTTCTTTGTTAATCTTACTTGAAGTAAGTGCGATTGGTGCTGGCTAGTGCTGCTACGCAGATTTTGGTTGAAATCCACCAGAATTACAATTAAATAATATATATATATATATATATATATATATATATATATATACTCCACTTTTCTCAAATAATGCACCTGAAATGTAAAATGCAGTACTTCAATGCATTCTTTGATCATTACTTTAACAGAAAATATCATTTAATTTCCTGAATTCATTTGATTATCAAGATAAAATAAGATGAGTAAGATAAGAAACTATGCTAAAAATAATAAATGACTGAAAAGAAAATGAGCATGATGATCTTTTGTTTTGAAACTTATTTGTTGGGAGCTTGTAAAAGATTATAAACTTAAAGAAGTTTCGCATGTTTTTCGAAGTATTATTTTGGTACCTGTTCTTTCAAGTGTTTAAGTTTGGTTGTTTTATGGATAATTAATTTTGTTTAATTTGTAAATATTTATTTTAAAGGGTTCAAATTGGTAATTATGTAACAACTTACTGAGCATTTTCAAAACTTTACTTATGACCCTTCCGTGGAGGATTTTATTCCTTGATTCTGCACTTTCCAACGACAAAGATCTTGAATGAATAGCTAAAAACGTCCTTACGTACGCAGAAGATGACTAGGATGTCATGAGATGGAATTTATCTCACATGACTAGATTTTTTCCATCCTAAAAATTGCCACGTACGTCAGTAGATAAATCTAGTAAAATCACTTCGTACGGTTTGATGTTTTGATCTTCTAATCATAGTTTTAGTAGTTGTTTTCATGTATATTATGTCTTTGTGACTACAAATACAGTTGCAATTTCACAAGCTTGTTGACAGCTGTAAATAACTTATACTTCTTTTATATCTACAACTGAGTTCTAACTTTGGAGACATGGCTGTCAAAAACGTGTGTCGTTTTTTTACTTTGAAAAACAAAGTGCAATACAATTTGAGACCATTTCCATTTTACAAATGATAAATTTATAAAACTCATAAATAAAATTAATCGTCAAAAAAATATTTGTTATCCTAAATTAAATATTACACTTAATGGTGCTTTTATCATATTATACCTATAATATTAATTATCCAAAACACAAGGAAGCAGGCAAGGGGGTCAAAAGGCACTAAAGCTTTTGAACGGAGACACCCTTGGTGCTCTGCGAAATCCATATCAAACTTCGAAAGCAAAATACAAATTATATTGGTTAAATTCATGAACGAAGGACAGGGATGACATTCCGATTTATCAGATCCTATAAATGTGAAAAAAATTAAAAAAGGAGATTCAGCCAACGGAAAACATGATAAACCTAACCACTAGAACATCAAAATTCGACCAACAATTTCCCAAGTTCCATCCTTCAACATGATCAAAATGGCATAACTTGCCTAACTTTTTTAAACGAAATTTCATACCAAAGATATTCTCATTGGATGGGTCTCTTTATGTTGTTAGAGAAATAGGGACATGGGATACAAATTCCTATTTCGAGTAAATGATGCAAAGCACAAAAAATAGTTACAGCCTCAACGATTTATTGGAGTGCGCATTCGCTCAACAATTCTGGTCACCGCAGCTCGGGACATCACCAATGTGTCATGAAGCAAAATGCTGTAGACATTCAACCCCTGCAAAAGCCATGTTAAACATAATTACATGATATAAAAAGAACACCTGTTTTAGAAAAAGCTAACTAGCAAGAACTATAAGATTTCAGTAAGGCATGAATTACCAATTATTTGGAGGTGAATTCTTGGGAATTACATCATACCACAAGTGGTACAGGGTATTCGATCAAATGGAAAGTGATCCGTCTTTAGGAGAGTTCCCATCATTTTCTCCTCAGTGGCTACAGAGTACAGGCTACTCAACCTATGACCATCTTCCATTTGATCCTAAAGAAGGTCTAATGAAGAAAGCAACTGGGACAAACCATAAAAAAATGTTCTAAATAGTTTTACTGAAAATTTGGTCTTTGATGGACCTAGTGGTGTCTCTTGAATTTAGGTTGAACCTAATTCAATTCCAAAAGCTAATTCGTGTAGTGAGGTGAAACCTCTATTTTAGTTACATCTTTAGTTGAAATGAGATTTTTTTGTAGTCCCTACTGATACAGACTGGATTTCTAGACTCTGAGAGATTATATATACATTGTAACAGGGAAAGCTGCCGAGCCGGGTATTTTTTATAGCATTTGAGGGTGGCCCAATATCAAATATCCATTATGATACGCTTTGATATTATCTTCAATTAAGGCTGAGTCTAACTCAACCCCAAAGACTAGCTCATGAGATGAGGATTGCCCAAACCTTATAAGCTCTACTGCCATATGAACAGTAAATGTGGGATCTCAATTGTGCCAATTGATTATTAAACCATGTACCCGATCCCACCATGTACAAAGGCTTGGTTGTCACTGTTGGAAATGCTTTGACTCTCAGAAAGATATTATAAATTTCAAATGGATAAAAACTGAAACTTACAATGGATGGAAGTATGTTAACATAGTGTAGATTTTGCGTCGATAATTTTAACTTTTCATCTATAGGCCCGCCATCTACGAGCAGAAGTTTCTTGGTGTTCTCCATTTGATTGTAATAATTCACCATATTCCTAGTTTTATGTGTGGGAACCTCCAGATCCTCAAACACAAGAAGCTGTAACACAGTTCCCCAGTACATTAGCATGAAGATACTGTTATGACATATAATGCAATAATAAACCACAAAATAAGGATAAACAAGATACTTGTTGGATGAAAAGAAACAAACGCTATATATACTAGACAGCTAAAAGAAATACAATGTAACAAATCAGAACATATGATTATGAAGATATACATGCCAAAAGTAACCATTAACAAAGCAGTAAAGCACAGGACAGCTAACGTAGTAGCATTGCATTTTGGTGATTTGAGTTTTTTTTTCTAGTTCCCGTTAAGCTTTTTTATGAGTTTTATTGTATTTATGCAGCCACATTTCTAGCTTGTCACCTTTAACAACAGTTTCAAGTTTAGTTGGGGGCATGTATTTTGAGCAGGGTTTTGTAAAGTACAGTTAACATAGTATAAATGATCCTGAGGACTTTGCACTCAATGCCACGTGATAACTCTCGATGCATTATTCCATTGTTTCTACTTCAATTCTCCCAACACCCCAGCGATAATTCTGTGAAGATATTGCAATCCATATTTTGTCTCTACACATGAGCCCTTCATTTGAAAGATGATCCCACCTTGGTTACTTCTATAAATATATGAAATAGTCAACTACATTTACATTTACATTAAGTGATGTAATTAAAAAGTCAAAGAGGTAATTAAAACATTATGATTGATTGTCAATCAGGTAGGCTGAGGCTGAGAACACAATCCACTTCACTAACAATATCTCTTTAATTTTGATATCAACAACAAAAGAAACCTTAAACGAAATAAGAACACTTTGTACCTTCTTAGTTAGGCTACTAAACCATCAAACAATTTACTCAAATTTTTCAAACGAAATCTTCCAGAAATGAAAACTGAAAAATCACACTATATTGAGTGTAAGCAAGAATGTACACTCATGCAGCAGATAGAATAATGTAGAGATGCCACAGTTTAATTTTGGATGGTGAGTGGGATCCCAGATGAGGGAGGAACTTGCCTTTCCTTCTGCTGCCCGAGCTGACAAGGCAATCTTCAGCCCCAGTCGCCGAACCTTCTTATTGACTTTGAAAGCATGGCTTCGAGGTTTAGGGCCATGCATGGTGGCACCACCCCTGAACTGTTACCATTCATTAAATTTATTATTTTCAACTTCTGAAGAAGAAAGAAAGAACAGAAAAACTGTGAAGGAAAAGATGGACTAGCAGGTATGAGCAGAATGTTCCATTACCTGAGGCCCACGCAATGAACCATGCCTTGCTCTACCAGTTCCCTTTTGATTCCATGGCTTTCTTCCAGTCCCACTGACCTCACTGATAGTTTTCGTTGAATGAGTCCCCTGTGGACCAAATCAATAAGAAAAATACAAAACATTATCATGGAGAGTCACTCCATAGCTAAATTTAGATCCATGCTACTAGATAAATTATATATCTATTTTCAACTATTAAGCATAAAGCACCAGTGAAAGCATTTGATCCTAAATCATTTGAAAAGACATGCTAAATTGTAGTTTGTACCAAATCCAAATGCGTGTCCCACATCCCACAGTTGCTAAAAGCCAAAATAGAAAAAAATCACCATCTTTCCTAAGAAATATATAGCATTTCCTCTGGATTGCACATATCCAATGACAATGAGAAACAACCTTTAGATTCCAAAAATTAAGTAGTGACTACCTGTTGTCGTTTTGCAAGCTGCCACCTAACAACACGATGAATAATGTCCTTCCGAATAGGCAAATCAAAAACATCTCCAGGTAAAACCATAAAGCCCTTGTCTTCATTATGAAAGTTTGTAACTGGGATTAAAAGATCCTGGCAAAGCCCTACATTATATTGAACTGGATTCAGACACTCTTGAATCTTATGGAGACAGCAATCAACACATGCTGTGATCAAGACTTGACAGTTTGTCATGAATGATGGTAAGTAGTGAAGAAAACAGTGAAACAATCAAAGATGCACTCAAAATTTGATTAATAACAAGGAGAATCCTGACCACTGTCGCTAGGGTAAAGGTTTTTCCAAAAGAGTATTACTTAAGCACCATGATTTCCAATCCAACCCCACCGTGATTTTCCAATAATAACAAAGTTGTAGCTCTACATGCAGTTAAAAACTAGGGAAAGCTATTGCTAACTTACTTAGGATATTAAATACATAATTTTAGTGGAAGACACAAAAGTTAAACCCTAGGTCCACATTATTTAATTTAAGAGAAGACTAAGATCATCAAGCACGAATGAAATATTAAGTTCTCACTCACAGTATCAATTTCAGAACAAACTGGAGAAAATGATAATGGGAATCCTCAGCAGTGCCAGTAGGGTACAAAGTTTTTATGGAATAGTGTCTAGAGTGTTACTTATGCTCCTTCACCATGATTTCCAACGCAACCCCACTGTGATTCTTCAATAATAACAAGGTTGTGCCAACATGCAGTTAAAAACTAGGGAAAGCTATTGATATCTTAGGATATTAAATGTATGATTTTAGTGGACAACACAAAAGTTAAACCCTGGGCCCAAATTCTTTTAATTTCAGAACAGATGATCATTAAGCATGCATAAAATATTATATTCTGACTCACAGGATCATTTTCTGAACAAACTATAGAAAATGCCAAGGAATAGTTACACACAATGCATACATTGTTTCTAATTTTGGGTATAAAATGTTCTTATATAAAAGCAAACAGCATGTTCTGACGTACAATATATGTAGAAATGCATTCGGTCAAATGATCTTTGGTGTAAATTATGTATCTTCAGAAGAAGTACAATTAAAGAAGAACCCTAAACCCTAAGGAAAAAGAAGCATTGACATGGAAGATATTAGTGTAGATCATACAAAATGGACAACAAAAATATCTCATAATCTAAATCACACTTGAATTCATGCCTGGGGGTCAATTAATTTCTCCCCTTTCAGAAATAAATATCAAACTCGGCAAAAAGAAGCACTGTTATATTATTGTACAAAATGCTTCAAGTTATCCTTCATACCTATAGTACGCTCAGATGTTGCTAGAGTCTTCTTGGACAATAAATCGGGTGGAGATGCACCCTCATCCGGCCCAGGAGTTAAAATAGAAGTAGAAAACTGCCGGATCATTGACCTGACCTACATTTAAACACACTCTACCACATTATTAAAGAAGAAGAATCAGTAAAAGCCAGCATAAGAGAGAACCGCATTGATTAAGCTTTCATCCTGAAAGTAGTTACAAATAAAGAAGTATAGTCAAATGCACTGGCAATGTACCAAAGAACAATCTGCAGAAAGTAGTCTTTCCCCAGATAAACTGCTGCATACATCTGTGTAAAAAAAAAAAAATCGTAAATATAAAGATTCACAAAAGCTGAAAAATGAAGAAGAGTAAAAATCAAATGGACCGCAAATGGCAACTGTCCACAGTTAAGAAACTACATAAAACTTCTTACCACGTGATTTATGAAAAGTGGAAAACCCAGCATTAGTTGAATTAAAGTAGAACTGTCCCAGTGAATGCAAGGACGCAGAAGAACAACGTAGCAGCCTTTTGGAAATCAACGCTTCCATAACTGACCGAACAATCTACACTGGATTGCACCTTCCCATTTAAAATTTAGAGCAGAAACAACGGTAAGAATGTAACTAAAAGTGCTCAAACTAAAGCAGAGAAGGAAGCGAGACATTCCATCAAACATGTTGCACGCAACTCAAATTCGCGAAATCAATCACTACATGATATACATCTCAGAAATCTCGCAGTATTTTCACCACGGGTGGGCCCCTCAGAAATATACAGAACAATGTAAAAAACGAAACAAGTATCGAACACAATCTGATGCTACACTACTTCAACCACTGAGCAATAAAGATGTGAGGAAAAGAGAAAAAAAAAAGTTACCAGAGACAGAACACAGAGGTAAGGTAATGCCGATGGAATATTTAGTTTATTTTGGCCAAATTTCGCTCAGAATACGAATCTGAACTTTCTCCGGTTCATGACTTCGTCTCCGTCTTTGCGTCCATAGAAGATGCTCCGAGCTTGTTCAGTTTACAAAAGGTCGCTCTGCCTAATGGGCCTTTCTGGGCTTAGGTTAAAAACGGACATGAATTTATAAGTTTTAGCCCAACAACATATTTGGGCCTCGGAAAACATTAACTGCTGATAAAGACACCCCCCAACAAACGGATTTAGATACGTGCATGTAAGAGTTTCCTTATTATTTATTTATTACTTAAAACTAATTATTGATATGATTTTTAAGATAGTTAGTATAAAATTTAATAAATTTATTATATATAACAAATAGTGATTAGATGACAATCTAAAAAACGTGCAGATCATTTGCTAAATAAAGTCCTTATAAGTTACAAATATGTTTGCCAAATAAGCACCCCTAATTCTGAATGTAAAAAAAATAAATAAATAAGAACAAGAGTAATCAATTTTAGTTCAAAACATTTTCACACACACACACACACATATATATATATATATATATATATATATATATATATATATATATATATTATTTATATTGTTGTAAAAATGGATTTTTGGATAATTTGTTTTTGAAAAATTCTAAAGCAGAGTAAAAGTGATTGTTTGGTTTTCAGAATAAGAGTAGAAGTAACAACTCACTAGGATATGTTAGAAAGGATGAAGTCACATCAACCAAATACGCAAACAGTCCCATTTAACTATTCTGCCGACGATGAACTATTGCAAATTGTCATTTATTTACTATTTATATTTTAAGTTATTTATATAATTAACTGTGAGTAACTTCTGCTTTAACAAAAAATGTATTAAGATAATTGTGTTAAAAGTTAAAGAAATAACTTTCCCAACTATAACAGACATTAATATGATATTTAAATGCCAGAGTCTTAAATAGCCATAAGCCAATATTCGGATAAAGATGGTCAAATGTTGAATTAGTATACTTTAATTTTACTGAAAGAAGAAACTCTAGGATGCTTTACTATATTGATATAAAAAAATACTTTAATATAAAATTCGCAAATTTCACAACATTTTCACAGCATGTACTGCTGTTCAAGACCAAAGAGATGGGCAGAGAATCTAGGGAATGCAGAAACAAGTGATACTTCGAAATTAAAAACAAGATTTGTTGGTGAACTCGAAAGATATATATCCAAACTTCAATCGGGTTTTGCCCTGAAACATTATGGTAGTTTGATCCTTCTTTCAAGATCCTTCACTGTCATTCTGTGCTAATTTGCAATAATTTCAACTAAATAACTGTCCTCCATTGTCATCAACTAATGATCATCTTGTTAAAAAATTCAGCTTGCTCAGGAAAATACTTCATCAATTCATCCTTTGTCACCCAGACAAAATCCTTACACTTTGCAATGTTGAACTTGTTTGTAGCAATTAATTGAGACTTGAAGAAGAATCTCTGGCAGAAGATTTCAGCAAAGAGAAAGAATAAGCAAGTATAATCAATTTTGCACGAAGTGAGATAGAAGCACTGAAAAGGCTAGTTTTATAATCGTATGGTGCAACGAAACAAGCCAGAGTCCAACGCACTTCAATCAAGGGCCATCATATATTGATATAATTAAGAATATTAAAAGAAGTGAAGCTTCCATCAGTAGACCATAAGTACAGAAAATTTCCTATAAATATACCTTAAAAGATGTGGATCCAGACTGGTATTTTGAAGGCTGAACAACCATATGGCCCATTGGAGCATTTCCAACAAAATATGTATTAGAAAGATCTCCTATGATTGATTCCAATGCAGACTCTGCACACTGCAAAATTTCAAAAGTTAATAGGGGAAAGATACAGAAAAAGAAAAGAAAAGTCATGTCAACGTTCACCTTGCGCATGGTGTCCTCAGATTCATAAACTTTCTCAGGAAAATGCCACACAGGCTTTCTGCTTGGAGCCCCATGTGCCTTACCATAGAGGAGAAGGTAGAGTCTTCTATCAAGAGCTCTTTGTAATGACCTACGTAGACAAGTAGTAACAAGTAAGAGAATAAGCAAACATGCAAAAGTTATGCCTAAAAGCAAATTCGTTCCTTTAAAATAATGAAAAAAAAAGGGATAAGTGCAGATCAGTTTGCCTTTCTTATCAGTATTCAAGTTATATTTATGTTACCTAAGGTCCTAAGAAGACTTTCATAAAGACTAAAGGCGACTACAAGATAAATACACAAATGGCAAGCTTGCATCAACATTATATAATCACCGATTTGTCACAGCAAAATTCATACAATCACCACTAAAACAGGCAAGGAATAAAAATGGAATTAAAATTCTGAATAACCTTTGCTAATTAATACCCTTAACTAAACAACATGCCACAGAAAGTAGACATTGGTCCACTCCCAAGGAAGATGAGGTCAAGATAGGAACTATTTGGAGAAATCACACTTACTCAGATGCTGGCCTCTCTTGTATAGCCTTTTTTCTTCATGTATCGAGAAAATTAAATAAAGCATGTCTTACTGTAAATAACTCACATGGTCAGTCTACTCAAATTGGTGCATACCTTTTATCATTGTTTTTGTCAGCTTCAGTGAATCGTGGTGCTGGCACATAGTCAATCTGATAATCACCTTTTCCCCTGGCAGTAATATAATTTTTATGAGAACATATAAAAAGAACGAACAATCTGTATTGCCAGCTGTGATAACTCTTAAGCATATGAACAGATGCATATAGAAAGAGAGAAAGGCAATATATGTGTGTATATATATATATATATATGAAACATTTTTGTCCATGCTTTAGGTGTTTATTCCTAGATATAAGGAGCGGGTATTGTTATTGGGGCACCTACATTTATCCACCGAGCACCAGATGTTCAGTTCCAAGCGTGAGGCAGGGAGTGTTTACATCCAACACTACCTAGAGAGGTTGTTAATTTAATATAGTCATTACGTTATATAATCAACATATAATTGAATATCTTTCATTTATTATAATAATTATTTTTTACCTTTATTTAGTTTAGTTATCTATTGTCCTTTTTATTCCCCTCTTTATTCAACCTTCTATAATAGTTTTGATATTTTGCTAGTCTTGAGGAAGGAGGGAATGAATTTTTATACAATAAAGTAAAGTAACAATAAACTCAATGGATCTTTTCCATTTTCCATTTGAGTATATAGATAAATGCCTCCCTGCAGCCATTTGAGAGGAATCACATAAAATAGAAGTTTAACAGAAAAAAACAAAAATAAAATTGTTGGTTACTATTCAATTATATATCATTTTTAAGTATATACTATGACTAAAAGTGCAATCTAACTCCGCCTGTGTTCTCATAGCTAGTCCCAAGCCTGGATAAAGGAGGAGGGTTGTGTTGGGCTGCCCGCAGCCAACATTAAACTCATCAATATAACGCATAGATCACTCACTATTTAAAAATGCCACTTTGCGATCTCTCTCTTTAAATCTAATTAAATGTAAATAGCAAAAAGTTAAAACTATAGACATAGCCTTGAGTACTTATACCTTGCATCAGACTTGTCTAGAAATTCATCAGGATATCTGCGTTGATATTGTTGTCGCCATCGAAACCTAACCATTCAGACCCCAGAAAAATATAGAAAAAAAAAGAAAAGAAAAAATTGTTAGTACAATAGTCACTGCTAAAACAGGTTATTCATGTTGATTAAGCAAACTTCAACCAAAAAATATTGGTAGAAAATCCTCATGTTTCAAGCCACCTAATAATATTACATATCACTTTTCCATAAGACTGAACCAGAATACAAGTTTTTCCTTTTCCATATTTTTAGAGGGGGTAGAGAATAGGATATTCATCACTAGAACTTATCTAAACATACTTCACCCTGCACCTAATTTACAAATAACAAAATTCATAAAGGTGACTCTAAGTTCAACACTTCGGCTTGACATGACATCTTTTCCCTCTACAGTCCTCCGGCAGAAGCACATCTTTTTCCTTGAAAAGTGAATGAATATTTTCTATGATTACAAATCCAAGACTCAATAAAGGTCAAATACCCAATTCATTTTATTTTTCCTAGGTATACTTTTAATCCAAGCAGAGCATAATATCAAAGTAAAGAAAGCAGAGAGAAATTTACGAGAATTCTTGAAATGCATAAACTACAGGGTCAATTTTGGGAATGACCACTGGCAGTCTCTCAAAGAGCACAGAAGCAACAAGCTTCTCAGAGCTTGTGCTGAATCCTCGCGTTGTCAAGAGAGATCGAACCATTGACATCTTCATCCTGGATGCATACAGAACCATAAAATGCACAAAAAGAAGCAACACAAATAAATATATAATCTGACAGATAGAGGATTACACTCTCTTTTGCATAAACACAAATGTCATGTGTATTAGGAAAAATATTTTCTATATTCAATGTAATGATTATTGTTTTCATGATTTCTTCCCTAACTTTTTATGCAGAAAAATTTTATAATCAATTTTATACAAGTAGGCAATAATGCTCTTGATTCTAAGATTTGAAAATCATTTAAGCAAAGGCTTGATATGCAATTACACTCGGTTATTCAGTCATGAAACTTGCAAGCACTCAAGAATCAAGACAACTACAATACCCATGGCATCATGACAGATCACATGTACCTACACCCAAGGTAGTCATAATTAAATCAAAGAACAACGTAGCAGCCTTTTGGAAATCAAAGCTTCCATAACTGACCGAACAATCTACACTGGATTGCACCTTCCCATTTAAGATTAGAGCAGAAACAACGGTAAGAATGTAACTAAAAGTGCTCAAACTAAAGCAGAGAAGGAAGCGAGACATTCCATCAAACATGTTGCACGCAACTCAAATTCGCGAAATCAATCACTACATGATATACATCTCAGAAATCTCGCAGTATTTTCACCACGGGTGGGCCCCTCAGAAATATACAGAACAATGTAAAAAACGAAACAAGTATCGAACACAATCTGATGCTACACTACTTCAACCACTGAGCAATAAAGATGTGAGGAAAAGAGAAAAAAAAAAATTACCAGAGACAGAACACAGAGGTAAGGTAATGCCGATGGAATATTTAGTTTATTTTGGCCAAATTTCGCTCAGAATACGAATCTGAACTTTCTCCGGTTCATGACTTCGTCTCCGTCTTTGCGTCCATAGAAGATGCTCCAAGCTTGTTTCAGTTTACAAAAGGTCGCTCAGCCTAATGGGCCTTTCTTGGCTTAGGTTAAAAACGGACATGAATTTATAAGTTTTAGCCCAACAACATATTTCGGCTTGGGAAAACATTAACTGCTGATAAAAACACCCCCCAACAAACGGATTTAGATACGTGAATGTAAGAGTTTCCTTATTATTTATTTATTACCTAAAACTAATTATTGATATGATTTTTAAGATAGTTAGTATAAAATTTAATAAATTTATTATATATAACAAATTGTGATTAGATGACAATCTAAAAAACGTGCAGATCATTTGCTAAATAAAGTCCTTATAAGTTACAAATATGTTTGCCAAATAAGCACCCCTAATTCTGAATGTAAAAAAATAAATAAATAAGAACAAGAGTAATCAATTTTATTTCAAAACATTTTCACACACACACACATATATATATATATATATATATATATTGTAAAAATGGATTTTTGGAGAATTTGTTTTTGAAAAATTCTAAAGCAGAGTAAAAGTGATTGTTTTGTTTTCAAAAAAAGAGAAGTAAAACAACTCACTAGGATATGTTAGAAAGGATGAAGTCACATCAACCAAATAGGCAAACAGTCACATTTAACTATTCTGCCGACGATGAACTATTGCAAATTGTCATTTATTTACTATTTATATTTTAAGTTATTTATATAATTAACTGTGAGTAACTTCTGCTTTAACAATAAATGTATTAAGATAATTGTGTTAAAAGTTAAAGTAATTTTCCCAACTATAATAGACATTAATATGATATTTAAATGCCAGAGTCTTAAATAGCCATAAGCCAATATTCGGATAAAGATGGTCAAATGTTGAATTAGTATACTTAAATTTTACTGAAAGAAGAAACTCTAGGATGCTTTACTATATTGATATAAAAAAATACTTTCATATAAAATTCGCAAATAGTTCCTTTCACAACATTTTCACAGCATGTACTGCTGTTCAAGACCAAAGAGATGGGCAGAGAATCTAGGGAATGCAGAAACAAGTGATACTTCGAAATTAAAAACAAGATTTGTTGGTGAACTCGAAAGTTATATATCCAAACTGCAATCGGGTTTTGCCCTGAAACATTATGGTAGTTTGATCCTTCTTTCAAGATCCTTCACTGTCATTCTGTGCTAATTTGCAATAATTTCAACTAAATAACTGTCCTCCATTGTCATCAACTAATGATCATCTTGTTAAAAAATTCAGCTTGCTCAGGAAAATACTTCATCAATTCATCCTTTGTCACCCAGACAAAATCCTTGCACTTTGCAATGTTGAACTTGTTTGTAGCAATTACTTGAGACTTGAAGAAGAATCTCTGGCAGAAGATTTCAGCAAAGAGAAAGAATAAGCAAGTATAATCAATTTTGCACGAAGTGAGATAGAAGCACTGAAAAGGCTAGTTTTATAATCGTATGGTGCAACCAAACAAGCCAGAGTCCAACGCACTTCAATCAAGTGCCATCATATATTGATATAATTAAGAATATTAAAAGAAAAGTGAAGCTTCCATCAGTAGACCATAAGTACAGAAAATTTCCTATAAATATACCTTAAAAGATGTGGATCCAGACAGGTATTTTGAAGGCTGAACAACCATATGGCCCATTGGAGCATTTCCAACAAAATATGTATTAGAAAGATCTCCTATGATTGATTCCAATGCAGACTCTGCACACTGCAAAATTTCAAAAGTTAATAGGGGAAAGATACAGAAAAAGAAAAGAAAAGCCATATGTCAACGTTCACCTTGCGCATGGTGTCCTCAGATTCATAAACTTTCTCAGGAAAATGCCACACAGGCTTTCTGCTTGGAGCCCCATGTGCCTTACCATAGAGGAGAAGGTAGAGTCTTCTATCAAGAGCTCTTTGTAATGACCTACGTAGACAAGTAGTAACAAGTAAGAGAATAAGCAAACATGCAAAAGTTATGCCTAAAAGCAAATTCGTTCCTTTAAAATAATGAAAAAAAAGGGGTAAGTGCAGATCAGTTTGCCTTTCTTATCAGTATTCAAGTTATATTTATGTTACTTAAGGTACTAAGAAGACTTTCATAAAGACTAAAGGCGACTACAAGATAAATACACAAATAGCAAGCTTGCATCAACATTATATAATCACCGATTTGTCACAGCAAAATTCATACAATCACCACTAAAACAGGCAAGGAATAAAAATGGAATTAAAATTCTGAATAACCTTTGCTAATTAATATCCTTAACTAAACAACATGCCACAGAAAGTAGACATTGGTCCACTCCCAAGGAAGATGAGGTCAAGATAGGAACTAATATTTCACTTACTCAGATGATGGCCTCTCTTGTATAGCCTTTTTTCTTCATGTATCGAGAAAATTAATTAAAGCATTTCTTACTGTAAATAACTCACATGGTCAGTCTACTCAAATTGGTGCATACCTTTTATCATTGTTTTTGTCTGCTTCAGTGAATCGCGGTGCTGGCACATAGTCAATCTGATAATCACCTTTTCCCCTGGCAGTAATATAATTTTTATGAGAACATATAAAAAGAACGAACAATCTGTATTGCCAGCTGTGATAACTCTTAAGCATATGAACAGATGCATATAGAAAGAGAGAAAGGCAATATATGTGTGTATATATATATATATATATGAAACATTTTTGTCCATGCTTTAGGTGTTTATTCCTAGATATAAGGAGCGGGTATTGTTATTGGGGCACCTCCATTTATCCGCCGAGCACCAGATGTTCAGTTCCAAGCGTGAGGCAGGGAGTGTTTACATCCAACACTACCTAGAGAGGTTGTTAATTTAATATAGTCATTACGTTATATAATCAACATATAATTGAATATCTTTCATTTATTATAATAATTATTTTTTACCTTTATTTAGTTATCTATTGTCCTTTTTATTCCCCTCTTTATTCAACCTTCTATAATAGTTTTGATATTTTGCTAGTCTTGAGGAAGGAGGGAATGAATTTTTATACAATAAAGTAAAGTAACAATAAACTCAATGGATCTTTTCCATTTTCCATTTGAGTATATAGATAAATGCCTCCCTGCAGCCATTTGAGAGGAATCACATAAAATAGAAGTTTAACAGAAAAAAATAAAATAAAATTGTTGGTTACTATTCAATTATTTATCATTTTTAAGTATATACTATGACTAAAAGTGCAATCTAACTCCGCCTGTGTTCTCATAGCTAGTCCCAAGCCTGGATAAAGGAGGAGGGTTGTGTTGGGCTGCCCGCAGCCAACATTAAACTCATCAATATAACGCATAGATCACTCACTATTTAAAAATGCCACTTTGGGATCTCTCTCTTTAATGTTAGGTTTGATTGGAGTGATTTGAGAAAGTGAAAATAGGAATGTAGAAAAGGAGGTATTTGAAGAAAAATAGAGGTGAAATTAAAGTTGTTTGGATGAATGGAAAGTGAAAAAAAATTTATGGAAAATTGTTAGTGATTTGATTGATATGAGATATAAAAATTATAATTTTAATAGATTATTTAAGAAAATGACTATTTTACCCTTGTGTATAAAATAAGGTTAAAATTATTATAAGGTTAAAATTATTATAAATATAAATTTTTAATTAATTATCCATATTTTAACATTGATTATATATTTGAAAGAAAATTTTTTTAAAAGTGTTTGTAAGTGGAAACAAATTAAAAAAATTATTTTTTTTTAAATAGTTATTAAAAATTATATAAATAAACAATTACAAAATTATTTACATTGCATATCCATAAAAAAATAATTTTGATATATTAAATAAATTATTTGACTAATAATTAAATAATTATAAAATATAAAATAATAATTAATATTGACTAATAATAACAAATAATTATGAAAATTAATAATATAATTGTAAATTATTATTTTAAATAAATATAAAATATAGTAAAAATAGAATAATAATTAAATGAAAAATTCATGTAAACTTAATAGTAAAAATATTTTATTATTTAGTTAAAAACTATATTAATTATATTAATATATATTTTTGTCATATTTTTATATTTTCAACATAAAATAAAAAAAAATAAAATATATATATATATATATTAGAATTACATGTCATAAATTTTAATTATCAAATAATATTAATTAATACAAACATTAGATATTTGACAAACATTGCTAAAATTATAAACATATGCACACTAATGCTCATCAAACAAATAATTATAATGTTATCGATCATTTGCAGTCAAGTCCTCGAGTTCAGAAGTTTCCTCGTCTAACAGTATTTCGTCGAAAGGTTTGCCGAGTAGGTCTGCCAAATTCATTGTGATCGACGAGCTCCTGAATGAATCTTAAAGTATTTTGAGGTCTTTATAGCAGATCATTCAATCACTTCCACCCAAGAACATGAACAACTGGGAGAGACGAAGATGTGAGGGCAAGCCAAAAAGTCGTCTAACATGTGATTCGTGAGTACACAAATGATTATAACACTGAAACATAAGTTGCTCGTCATTTAGGTTCATGCCGACTAACATGTCCCATATATCTGACTCGGAATGTTGAAATGTTGATGATCGTCTCATCACATTAACTTGCTCATTAATTACATCATTTATGCGTTCAATGGCGACCACCTGTCTTTCAGCTATGTCAGATAATCGTTGGGTCAATGTATTACCTTGTCCAAGGTAATCTGTAAATGTGTCCAACCTCATTGTTAGTTTGTCAAATTGACCTTCCATTACATCAACCATAGACGCTTTTCTTTTTGTGCCCCGAGATGAAGAGGTTCCACCTGAACCAGTAGACGCAACAGTTGGCATTGACTGAACATCCTCAGCAGGACTGTCGGAACCCATGTGTGGAGGTGATCGATAAGGTGTATCAAATCCTGCATCAAAGCCAAAGTGAAATAGCTGCTCCTCTGGTGTGGAGTCCACATCAACGTTCAAGTCGACTGTTGCCCTTCGAGAACTGATATTCATTCGGGACTGACGCGAAGTTCTTACCATATGTCCATTGGCTCGATCAGCACCCCACAATTCTTCCATCAAATCATAATACCTTATAGTTGACAGTTTCCATTTAGCTGCAAAAGGTTTCGCCTACAAATTAATAAGAATGGTTAACACTCGTAATTGTTATGTTTTGCTGTATCAACAAATGATAATTCATATAATAGTACCTTGATTAGGTCATCTCATACTTCTTGCTCAGCCATAAACCGTTTTGTGATATCATCCCAAGCGAATCCACTAAGTTCATGAAACAAATCGTGGACCTCCTGCCATCTATCCTTAAGACTTTTTTGTCGATTTTTAACATTATTTTTAGTTATACCAATTAATCCAGACTATCTTAAGGATTCAACTATATTATTATATGCTTGGGTTGTCCAACTACCATCAACCCGATTACCCAACCTTGTCTCATGAAGCATAGCAGTCAACAACCGAAAGTCCATGTCATTAGTCCATTTTGTAAACTCGCGCACTACAGTTGACGAATTCAGTGCAATATTCTTTCCTCTGTTCATTTTAAACCTATTGGAAAGATAATATATGTAATTACGATACCAACATATAATTATTATAAATAGATAATCGTAATGTAATCGTATTTCAATAATAACAATAGTACATCTCATTAAATATATTGTGACATACAAAATCTAATGATTTTGATAATCTATCCACATTTGATTTGCTATAGTATCTCTTAAGTTTGACCCTTCCCTATAATCCTCTTCCCGAACTTGAGTCGACATATTATTGATTTCATGATTTCTTCCCTAACTTTTTATGCAGAAAAATTTGATAATCAATTTTATACAAGTAGGCAATGATGCTCTTGATTCTAAGATTTGAAAATCATTTAAGCAAAGGCTTGATATGCAATTACACTCGGTTATTCAGTCATGAAACTTGCAAGCACTCAAGAATCAAGACAACTACAATAGCCATGGCATCATGACAGATCACATGTACCTACACCCAAGGTAGTCATAATTAAATCAACAAAATCCAAGTGCCCAAGGTTCTCATCTTCATCTAGTACACTTCAATTAGTTTAGGTATCAGATATTCTATGAATGTCCCTGCCCTTTTTTCGGGGTGGTAGGGGTAAGGTCCTATAGAAGGATTTACAGCTTAATTACCAATGCAGTCGAAATAAAAATAACATCTCTCAGCTGCTTCTGTTCTAGAAAAAAATGTAACATACAGTTTATGATTTTAAAAAATCACATATTTTACTCTAAGAGGACCCACCAGGCACCAACGGCTTCTGATATCAAGTATCAGTACTAAACTTCGAAAGCAAAATCTCACCGAAGACTACTAACAAGTAACACAATGAACTTGAAATTCACTCATAAAGAAGAAAAGGCATGAGCTTGAAATTCTCTTCATTTCATATTATATCTGAACCAGACGCTGATAAAAACATATCAGAAATAAGTATAGAAGCAAGCATCTGATAACTTAAGGCATCCCAAACTCAAAAATTCAAAATTGATGTTTCCATGGATTCGATACAATGCTGTATGACTCTTCTATTGGCATTGGGGGTTTTCTTTGGATCATAATCTATAATACAGAGCAAGGGGATAAAAAGAAGAGATTACAGAAAAAAATGGCAATACCCAATTAATGAATGAGGTCCGCTATAAGAGAAAGAAAAGAGCTTTCTTACGTTAACCAATAAACGGAAGCGTACCACCCTCAATATCATTCCATTCGGGAGAAAGTACGAGATAGCTGGTGCAGCAGAGGGTATTAGAGAAGGAAAAAAGGGTTTTGGAGGCATAAACATCACGGACTAAACGATGCCGTTTCAAGCTACTTTATATTTTTTTCAAAATATTATAGTTTCCTTGTCTAGAAATATACAACTATTCTCTTATATAGAAATTGTCACTCTTCTGTCTTCACTAACAAATATTAAATCAATGCATTCTTACAAAATTTAGTCCTTTGATTATGAAGAGATTCCCACCGTAATTTAGTTAATCCTTGTCCCGATATTCTTAAAATAATGTGTAACTACAAAATAATTTAGTTTATAATTTTTTTACAATATATTTTTATATATTGTAATTAAAATTTTATTAAAAATGTATACAAAAATAAAAATTATAAATTTATTTATTTTACTGTTTTGCCTATTCCCCAGCCTACCATTTTGTCATGCTTAATTTTGGCTCATATTACATTAATCAAACCATTAAAATAATTAATGAAGCTATTAAAATTAACTAAATACATTACTGTAAAATATTTATCTAATTAAAAATTTATTCAAATCATAAATTTATTAAATTATTTTATAAAAATAAAAATTAACTGAATTAGGAAACTAGTTCTCATATAGAAACTTATTAAAAAAAAAGAAAAAGGTAACCAAGGTTGTCAAGAGAAAATCGGGGTTGTAAATAGTACGGGTTTTAGATTTAGACAAACATTATGGGCCGAACAATTCTGTTGAAGCACGTATCACTAAAATTTAATTTAAAATTATTTATGATAAACTAAATTTCATCCAAGATATAAAAAAAAAAAAAATCTTCGAAACTGTCATTCAATGATCTTCACGTATGGGTAGAGAGATCTTGAATAATCAACTCAGCATTAAAATCCTAAAACTATAAGAGATCTAGATTCATTAATATCCTAAAGCATAATACTCAATTATGATAAAAAAAAATTAATAATAATACTTTTTTTCTTTTGCTATTTAATCTAAGATTTAATTTCTTTATTTTGACACCTTGCAACTATATACAGTGGCCTTTCATCTTTACCATACACTCACATTCTTGTGTATTTGAATTATATATACTTATATACAAGTTATGATTGAAGAAGAGATAATTTTAATTATTTTATATAAATTGTTTCATAAACGAAGCTAAGGGCTTTATTCAAATAAACTCAACAAAATTTACGAACAAATAGATAATAGTCCCGTCACACATAATTGAATACAGTGATATACAGAGAACTCATCTTTCTCTCTATAACCATTCAACAATTTTATTTAATAATATATATATATATATATTTATTATTATTATTATTAATTATATCAATAATTTTAGCTTCAGTATAACTTTTTTTAATGATAGTCAATAGCTTATTCTAAGTGTTTCTAATATCCGAACACAGAAAATTCATTAATTCTCTCAAATCTAATTATCCTAAAATTTAAATGGTCAAAATAGTACTCTATAAGCTTGTCATTGTCACACAGGATTTAAACAAAAAGTGAACAAAAAGACTTGAATACAACAGATTCATTTAAGCTTTTAGCATAGTATAATATTATAGGCGAATCGTGCTTTTAATACAATAGAATCTATTACAAGGGAAAAAGTTGGACATAACTTATAACCGAAGGTGAAATAATTTTAGCTTGGAAAGGTTACGAATGAAAAAATATTATATACATGAAAGCTAAAAGGTCATGAACGAAATGAATACAACTTTAATCAGTTCTTTATAAAGATTTAAAAATAATAAAAAAATATAAGTTTAAATTAATTTGTATATTAAAATAAAAATTGTAAAAATAAATTTTACATCCAACATGTTAATTAGGGGTGTCAAAACACATTAGTCCACCCTGTTTCAAAACAGGATGGGACCCGTTATAGCAATAAAGATAAAAATTATAAAGATAAAAATAATCAATAATTAAAAAGAACAAAAAAAACAGAAAAGAAAAAATTATATTTAAGTAGAAAAAATATTTATTATAAAAAATGAAACGTTTTTAATTCTTTTTTTAAAATTTTTAACTTTATATATTATCTCTATAATAATTTTATTATAATAAAATTAAAAAATATTTTTTTATTAATTAAACTACCCGTCCGTAATTAACCCACATACCTGCCCACCAAACCTAACCCATTTTACTATCCTAATGTTAATATTAAAGCACAACTTTTGTGTATAAATTCATAGTTATTAGCTACTAAATAAAATTAGAAACAATTTAAAGTTCCTTTGCCACATGATAAAATTTGAAGTAATCACTCAGTTAAACTTTTTCACATCACACCCACCTAATATTGGATATACCTCTACCTTGTACCACTATTGATGGGCAACAAAATAGGTCACCAAATCAAGAGTGAGATACAACATAACCAATTACCTACCACTCGTTACCATCAAACTTTCACATGTTAAAACTATAAAAGGGGAGAAGGCACTGAAGAAACTAGAACTTGAGATTTTTGGAATTTTATTTATTCATAACTCAGTGAATATTATGTTTCAGTAGATGATCCACATAAGGACTCTCTAATAAGCTATATGAGCTCTCTAAGCATATTAATATTAATTATATAATTATAATAATTGTAAGGTTTTAGTGACAACAAGAGTTTATGAGAGAATCTATAATATTGCTAGAGCATGGGATGGGAGAGGTCCATGGGAAATGGATTGGCCAGAACAGTATCCATGTAGTAGTGTGGATGGCTTGGATCCATCACCACAAACTGCATGTCCTCTGAAGGCTTCCAGTGCCGTTTCCTTTGATTAATAAACCAGTTGTTGATTTGCTTCTGATCCAGACCTGTAGATTCTGCAAGAGCCAGCTTCTGTGATTCCTGTCATTCAATACACATACCATGCAAATCATCAGAATTGTATTAGGGTTCTAAACAAAACAAAAAATCCCAGTAATTATTTAGTGGTTTTAACAGTCCCAATAGTAAAGGAGGGAGTAATAGATTGAACATACAGATGGGTACGGCCATTTGTAATGTCTGCTCCACCATTCCAACAACTGTTGTCTTGCTTCTTTAGGTAGCTTTCCCTTCTTCCTCTTTTTCATGAACTCCTGCTTCAGACTGCCCAAGTATCCACTGTACTTGCGCAGAAGCTGACCCTTTAATTCCCTGTCCTCTGCCTGGGGATCTATCATGCTCTGCAGATCAACATCCTCTTCAGATGATCCATTCCTATCAGCACCCTCATTACACGCTGAACATGACATGAATCAACTCAAATCAATTATGATAACAATAGTTAACATCTCATACCAAGTTACAACATACATACAAATACAACTTTAAAATTTCCTTTCTCAAACAGGCATCTCTGAAGTTAAATATTACAACCAGTAAATAACAATGTACCTATTTAACTCTAATTTACAAAAGCAAAATAATAATAACTCAGGTTCAAAGTGAGATGAATTGAACTTCTCTTCATTTTCTCCAATAAGAATACTATGGTAAAAATCAACAATGCAATCTACTGTGGTAACTAGAAAATACGTCTGGAATGATCACAAAGTCACCACGTTAATTTAACAGAGGCATACTTTGGTGGAACGTATCTGAAAGATTAAACTGATTTTAAAAAATGGAAATATAAACATTGTTTTTTATTTTTTGAATGATGAAGTAAATATATAATGAAAACATTTTAAGAGAATTTAAAGAAAAGAAAACCTGCAAGTACAACTTGCAATCATAAGGAAATAATTGATTCACACAACTGAAAGTATGGACTTGGATTGGTGCATAGGATAAAGAGCCGGCCGCCAGGGTGAAACATTATTCCATGCATCAAAACTCAGAAAATGGACGCTCACTTTTTCTTGAAACCCGACAAAGTTATGGAGGAAAAAGCGTACTCTTGAATATATATACTGCACCAATGTAACTCATGAATGGCTACTTTATCGATCTACATAGACCCTAGTCGAGCCTAAGAAAGCTTATTCCAATGCAGAAATTAAACCAGGGGGAACCTAATGTTTAACGAAGAACTCTCATGCTTAATGAGGATCTACATATAACAGTTCAATCTCGCACATAATCAAAGGCTTACGGAACTCTCATGATCGTTATTACTTATTATTGAAAAATTTGGGTAGAAAAATTATAATATCAAGCGTTAGAGATAAGATAAATAATTAGAGAAAAACTAAGACTAACGAGGATATATCCACCATAAAAAATCTTTTTGGGGCAAGACTAAAATGACACGCAAGATACATGGCAACCTCCATAAATGAAAAACTAACAGATGGTGAACAAAGATACCAGTGCGGGGAACAAGAACGTAAAGATCTGGGAACGATTAAATTAGTTTCTCTACCCGTATTGCAACTTGCAAAATTTACATCAATAAGTGGAAGGAAAGCCCCTTCAAGTAGTAAACTTGACTCATAAACTAGATTAGAGCGACTCATAAAAACTCAATAATGACTCATGATTACATCAAGCCAACCATGCAGTAAACTTTGACTAACATTGATGGTCTTCATATTCAATTATAGATTTCAATGAACAATCAGCATTGTGTAGATATAACAGTATGTATATCCATTTTCAATTTACAACATATAAACAAATTAGTATCACAAATCTATGGTCATAATTCTAACAAATATGACAAATGCATCCTAAGATTCTGTTCCCATGGAAGAAATGGCAATCACAGAAAAGACAATGCATACTCAAACCTTTGAAATTATACATTCTATTAGACCAACTAAACACAACAGTTCAAGGAAACAAAAAGGGCAACACAACTGCATTTTTTTTTTCAACTGAGTTTTACTAATTCTAAGATGAGTTATCTTTCCCAACAAAGTCTTCTGCATACACAATATCAAGAAACAAATTCTCAACACGCTTAAAAAGGACTCAATTATTTATTAACTGTGCATGTAAAACGTTGGTAAAGACAAACAATACAAACTGCTTAAACTCTTATAAGACTACTGATCAATCATAAAAGGCACTTGTGCCACAAGTAACTGGTGTCTCATGAATGATGTTCAGCCCTCACGCCAAAAGCTGTGAAGTGAAAGCTGAGATCACCAACAACCATTGACGGCTTCAAACAGAAAATTAATCACGGTAAATGACATTTAAACCCTTTCTATAGATAAAAAATTTAAAGTAAATTGACACTGAAATCTTTTATTTCCCATCAACCTAGATTAGTTCTTCTACATATAAAGTAAATAGCCCTCTTAAGTCCATAAACTATCAAAAAGTCATTCAGTTAGCCTCTAAGTTTAGTGCTTAAAAATATCTACATATACAAGTCCTAAGACCAAATGACAGTTATCCCAAAATTTAATTAGGATAAGGGTTTGTTTGTCATTTGATTAATTTACTCTTTTACAACCCATTTGATTGTATCATATATCATTTATTGATCCCACTTTCTACCCTTCGTTTATTTTCTTTTTATATAAGATAATAAAATACAATTGCATATTTATTTATATCAAAACTTGTTTCCTAACCATCGTGGTTTAAAGAATGAAAAGTAAAAAAATTGCAAGTACACTCTTGCATGTATTAAAGATTTTATGCACAAATAAAGAAAGTTAACAATTTTTTTATCTTCAAAAGATAGTTGAAATTTACTGATTTATTAATTTTTACATTAATATATATATATATATAGAGAGAGAGAGAGAGAAAGAGAAAGAAAGATTAAATATTAGAGAAAAGTAGGAGTACAACTAACAAAAATAACTAATATTATCTAGAATTTTTAAAGCTACAGCTAAATAAAAACAACAATCCATACAAAATGTAACAAAACAAACAAAATTATAAAAAATTGACAACTAAAAAGAATAAACTAAGAGAGTCTGATATTTGGAATGAAGAGTAAATTTGAGTAAAAGAGAAGAAAAAGTGAGGGAAAATTGAGACTGTTTGAACAAATAAAATAAAAAAAAATAGTAGAAAGATAATTAATAAGATTGATTTAACTTATTAACATAAATCAAATAATAAGATAAAATAATAAAAGACTAAAATATCCTTAATGTAAATTTAATAAAAATAAATACAACTAAAATTGAGATAAAATTTAATATGACATAATTATTTAATAAAATAGATATAAATAAATAAAAATTACAATCAATTTATAAATAATTTAAAAATTAACTTATGATACTTTACAAGTATATTTATATTATATAACTTTTTTATGATAATTTACAAGTAATATTAAATTGTAGAAATTATTTAAAACAAAATAAAAGTATAACCTAATTCACCTTACGGACAAAGCACGACTTGAGATGTTATTTTTTTTGTGTGACCTAGTAAACTATCATCACAAATCAATAGATACAAACATCCATATAATCAACAATTCATCCTCCCAATTCTTTGTCTTCCGTACCATCCATGGAAACAAAGAGGGACGAAAAGCCAGAAAAATTGATATGGTAGTAAATAGGAATAGAAGGTTTCTTCTATAATTTTAGTTATGGATAAAGTGGTATGTTTATTGTTTAAATACTCAGCTCTTTACTGCCACTTTTTAGTCTGCTAATTACATTTCCAACGAGTGTATCTAAACAACTTTCTACCCAGGAATTCCCACTCTAGGGACTCAGTGCAGAAGAAACCCTAGGCTATTTTGCAGAGACCTAATTCACCGGCAAGCTTCCTTCGGCCATTTCATCCTTCATTGTATTTATTTCAAGTAGAATCTTAAAAGGATGCAAAACCAGTTGTACAAAGGAAGCATAACCAGTCAAACCAGAGAATCCCGGTAAAAATGAAGTGGAGATAGATGACAAGATTGTGACTAAAATGTTATATTTCCCAAAAAAACAGCTGTATATATGTCAATATCAAGCACACGAGAAGATGAATTAGCAAGATACCAAAACAGTTTAATCAATGCACTAACACCAAGAAGAGGCTACAGAGATATGTACCACACCACCATCTACACTTTGACAGACAAAGACAACGCTTTGAACAAGGGCACCGTTGCCAGCATTTGAAACACTCAGATACAAAGACTAGCTAGCAAAATTAAATATATCATTCAAAAGAGAGCGTATAGCCCAATGATTGTTAAAGATATTTAAAGTTCAAAAGAAAAAGTGGTGCTTCATCAACTTTAAGCACACACTTCCTTAAAACACAGGCATGCAAGGGTAGTCAATTACTCAAACATTAAACACTTAGCCAATAACGTTAGAAACAATCCAAAAACTTACATATACTTCTTAGGAGTAGTTACTTAAGAAAAGTTTCTGATGTTATTTTTTAAAAAGATACGATTAGAATTGGAGTTTTATCTCGATAACTTATGTAAATCTTTTATAAAGTTCCAATTCTGACAGAATAACAAAGTTACAGGGAAGAACTATATCCAAGTTTTTTAACTAACATTGATAGACTATCGTATTAAACATGAGTAATATTTTCAGGAGATAGCACAAACAAACATATATATATATATATATATATATATATATATATATATATATATATATATACACAGAGAGAGAGAGGGTCATCACCAAAGTCGGAGGAAGAAATTGTAAGATTTTTGAACTGGCACTCGATCCTTTGAAGGAAGAGCATGGCTTCCTTTAAAGGTTTGGAGAGTTCTTGCTCGTACTTGGTCAGCATCTCACAGTAGGCTTCCATGAACTGATCCAAAGCTGGATCTTCACCTATGCAACTCGATCCAGATGCATCTCCTGCTATTGTCACCGCAGAAGCACATGCTTCTTCCAACCTTGCCACCACTTCAGGCGGGGCTCCAACCTGCAAGGAACGTGTGGAAAGCATGTATCGCCAAAGCACATGATATATTTCCATGAAGTAAACTGTCTTTATCACTTCTGCTTTGAAGGGTTTTTTGACTTCTTTTCCAACTCTCTTTCTTACGACGGCACATAACTTAATAACATAATCTTTTTAAAAGAAAGAAACAAAAAAAAACAAGTCCACAGTTCACAGTACACAGATCCGAACTTGCCAAAGAAATGAGTGTACAGAAATTAATTAATTAAGCATCGATCGTTTTCAACAACTGAGACAAAATCTGTCTACCTTTTTAACACAAGGAGGGGGGTGGTTTGGGGGTATACATATATATCACACAAGAGTCGAGAATTTAAAATCAGGCTTTTCTTCTTTCTAACCTTCTGACAATTGACGTAAGCTGCCAAGAGACGGTGATAGTGAGGATGAGCCATGATCTTGGCCTTGACAGCGGAAGAGGAAGAGGAGCTTCCATTGTTGTTGTTACTGTTGCGGTGGTGGTCACTCTCCATGAAATAGTATCCTACCCCAGTGTTGTTATCATCGTTGTTGTTGTGGTTATTGTCGAGCATGATAGGAGTTCCACTGTTACTGCAGTTGGGAATGAAGAGACAGTTTGTGTTTGCATTATTATTGGTATTATTACTAGGATTAGGATTTATTGGATGATGACCAGCATGATGGGAAGTCACCAAAGGCATCATCGTCATTGGGCATAGCCCACCACTGTTTTCTCCAAAAGCCAACAAATAAGAAGTGCCATTAGAACTACTACTACCCTCCATGGCTTGCTTGCAACATTCACTCACTTGTCAACAACACACAAACACACATATTCATTCACTCACTCACTGTCATATCCTTTTTGCCTACCAACTTCTGTGGCTCGCTACAGTTTTTTCACTCACCACTAGCTAGCCTTACAACATACAACTAAAACAAACGCACTCCCTTCTCTTATTCTCTCTCTATTTTATGAAGTCCGAAGACGTTAAGGCTCTCCCGGGTTTTATGGCAAAAGTATCAGGCTTTATACAGAAAATCCTAAATAGTGATAGTGGTGGCTATAGTCAGTTACACGAAGTAAGTAGCATAGAGGTTTTCGAACTTGGCTTTTCTGGCAAAGACTGCACAGATTTTTCCTTTGGAAAATGGGTGTTAAATGTTAATCTTCCTTTCCAGCATTAATGAATGAATCATTTTCTCTCTCACACACACTCACTCTCTCTCTCTGATTCTAGAGGTTACACGGTTACACCTGTGAGTGAGAAGACACACCAGAGCGCACGCGGGGCACACCGAGAAAACGATGAGTTAGCGAAGAAGAGAAGGGACGAGGGCAAGTGTAAGGCACTGCTACAAACAAAGGCTTTTACCTTCCCAATGAAAACTCTCCCTCTCTTTTCCTGCACTGCCACTGATTCGCTGCCATTCCTGGCATAAAACAAAACAGAAGAGAGAGATAGAGAGCGACCTACCAAGTTTTTAATTTGTTTAGAAGAGAAAGGAACGATCAAATCGAGGAAGAGAAAACAAGTTACCTACTACTGACCATGAATGGAGAAGAGATAGATGGATAGATAGGTTTATGTTTATGTTTATGGGGCACGGAATCAACCCTTCCTTCTCTCTCCATTCTTTGATGGCAATCCCTCCACTCATTTAATATTCTCACTCCCTTTGTCCTCTTCTCACCACAGTGATTAAAAAATTCTCTAGTTCCACAGGTATTCACATGTATTTAGGACAAGATTAGGGATTTAACATCATTGCTTGAGTTGGTTCTTGTTGTTAAATAGAAGTATTATGTTTCATAACATTAGCGTTAATACAAAATACTTTATTACTAATTCTTGCATGTGCTGAACTAAAACATGGATGAATACATGACATGAAATGAAATCATATGATGATGCTTCCTTCTCTCTCTAGTCTACCTCTTCCTATACAGTAGTAGTTGCTATGGTAGCATATGATCTACACATAAGATATATAAATAAATAATTTACCACGGAAAAAAGCGCGTCTGCACCTAAGTAAATAAAGCTGGTAAAGCTTGTGGGACAGTCCGAATGTCTCTTCCTCTCAACCCCTTTTTCTCTATTTCCAGCACCATAGGTTTTCTCCATATCCCCATCCCATCCCTCGACCATAATAAAGGCCTAGAGTAGCACCACTTCCCGTAAAATACCGTAGTGAAAGCACCTCCATCAGGTTACGTACACATTGTCGCTTCCCATTGTCCCCCTCTCCCGGTTATACTCTTCATTTTTCTTCGTTTCTCTTCTCTTTAGCACACTTCATTTATTGTTAAGTACATAACAATTGATTTCCTTTTCTAAAATAAATCAAGACTGCAGATGTTAACATCAAATAATCGATTGATTCAAGTGATGTAATTTTTTGGCTGGAGTTAATAATCAGATAGATTTTATTACACTTGCAGAGGGTAGTGTATAATAAGTGTCGGTACATGGATACTTCTGAAGGTATGCGTAGTTCTTGAAAGTTCTTCTACTGATACTAACTCTACTAGCTTCGGTGATAATGATATCAGAAATTGAATTGCAAATTTGCAGGAAGATAGTGTACTGTACTGGTTATGGTAGGTCTAGGAATCTCCACAGTCCATCGCGGCGTGAATGAATGACGACTTCAGGCTGCTCCGCTGAACAGTGTTCTGTCTCTACCTATTTTTGCATCTTTATTCTTATTGTAGCCACCAGCCACACTTATAAATAATTGTATATTTTATAGGTTTAAATATACTTTTTATCACCATGTAATGTATATTGCAATTAATCTTTATTTTATTCTAAAATGCGTTAATCTGTTTTTATTATTCGACACATTAATACTTTTAGCCTCTGATAATAAAAGATAAACTAAAAATGCACTGTTTAATTAAATAAGTTACATATATATAAAGTAAAAATACTAATAATGAACTTGCAAAACGAATACTGCAAGTCATTATGATACATAAAATGCATGAAGTGGATATAGTGACGTGAATATATTATTAATTTTTACCTAGAATCGGTAACTGAGCATTCTAGTTTTTTCTCTGAACTTGCTTTTTTTTTTTTTTCAATTGTTAAGTGAATGGCATTATTGTTACGACAGATTGCAACTAGGCATCCTAGCCTTTTTCCGTCATAAAAAATAATATTATCTTTTTGTAATGTTTATTACAATAATTGTCTTGGAGTCTGACTTAAAAACGTGACTTAAAACCTAGGTGAAAAATGCATGTACAAAGGTAATTCATATTGGATTAATGGTTTTCCAAAATATAGAATTTGAGATTTATTATATCTTTTCTCTCTTTATATATATCCAAACAATTTATTCTTAAAAAACATTATTCTATTACATCATTTGTGTAAAACAAACACGAAATACAATATTAACAAATAATTACAAATATCATAAAAAACTTATATTAATAATGCATACCTTAGAAATGATTAAGTTATTTAAATATGAATGTCTAGGATCTGCTACGACCCGAACTAACCAAATTGTAGGGAGTTTGACCAAACATAATTTACACGTTCCAATTGTGTGCTACTCTTAGCCATTAAACTGTTAATTCTTGAAACTTTTATTCCTATTGTTCTTTCCTTCTTCCTTTTTTTTTAACTCTTTGCATCTTAAAAAACATATAACTTTATTTTGGTTGAGATAAAAAAAGTCCAATAAAAACAAGTTAATCGGATAAAAATAATTGAAAAAATAAAGAATTAAAATATTTTAATAATGAGAATTTGAAAAAAAAAATGTTTTAAATAATTTTTTAAATTAATTTATTCTTCCCAAATACGTAATATTATTTCCATCTTTTGCTCTCTCAACCAAAAAGGGTATATTACAAGGTATACTGTGATTCACTGAAACGGAAAGTGACTTAGTGAAATCCAATTGCTCCATTGAAAACAACAACGGACATGGAAACAAAAGCATCCAAAGCTATCACAAATCTTTTAACTATTTAAATTAGATAACTCTAGTGTGATTTATATAAGCAAAACAATTTTGATTAAAAAATATCATTACTATAATTAAATACCTTTGTATTATTACTTATAATATTATATATATATATATATATATTAAATTTATACAAACAAGTCAACTTGTTAGGTTTTGGAAGAAAGAAATAATAATTATTGGCCATTTTACTTAATTTCCAAATGCCTAAGCCTGTTTTTTTTAACAAGAAGATAGATTAGACCGTCATGTTTCACCTATTTTCATCCCTATCCATATAATTCATAAGAAATGAATATTTTCAATTCTATAAAATTACTATGTAATTACATCTCATAAATAAATATTGTTAAATATATTATTATATTTTGAATTTATAATAAGTAATTTTAGTTGTGATATAAGATTATTTCTAAATTAAAATAAGTACGTAATCACGAGACTTTTTTTGATGAAATTTTCTACAGGTACTTTAAAGAGAATGAAATAAAATATTTTTCTTAATAAATTAAAAAAAAACTTATGTAGAATGTATTAAAAAAAGTAATAAAAATAAAAGAGTTTGTATAAATTAATATTAGTATGAATAAAAAGATTATGTAATGGGTTGAGCAGTGAAATGAATGAATAATATAATAATTACACGCGTGAGCTTTTGTTCATGATGAAATCTCCCAGATTTTGACGTTGGGTTTGTACGTTGAAAAGGAAATTAATGATAAGTACAGGGATAGACGCAAATGAAGGGAGAGAAACAGAGTTTCCCCCGGATGAGAAGGGGGAAGGAGCCTACCCTACCCAACTCTCTGTGGAAACACTTCCCCAAGGTTTAGGTTTAGGTTTGAATTTGAGTTTGAGTTTGATAGCAGAGAAAATACCCTCCCTTCACCATCAATCCACTCAGTGGGTCCTAATCTCCCTCACTACACACACAATCCACAATCAATTCTTCATTTTACTGTTTAATCTTTAAAAATTAATATCACACCACGATTAATACTGACAATTATACATAAGTTACAAAAAAAAGAGAAAAAAGGAATAGATGTAAAGAGCAAATCTTGCATTAAAAAGAAGAAGAAGAAGATTTACAGTGTACTACCCTAACAAGTTAGGAGAAATGAATGATGAAGTTGGCATATCTCTAGCATAGACGTCAGGAGGTACGTAGAGGCAGAGGAGAAAAAGGAAGGTGAAGGGGTGGCAACACGTTGGTGAAAAATAAATAAAATAGACGATGGTTCATTTCTTAAGGAAAATTGTTGGTTGGTTACTGGTTATGATTAGGGTTAGGGTTAGGGTTGGGAAATGAGAAAAAGCGACAGAAAGTTGAGAGACGTCACTGGAGCGAGGAGTGACAGTGGGTGGGGGCATAGCCTCATAGCTGGGACAGCAACCCTACGATAGGTTTCCTTTTCTTTTATTTTTTTCTCCATCTTCATACTTTAAGTCACCTCCATCTACAGCCCCATGATTAGACATAAAAAAAAATCATTCTTTAATTTAACATAATCAATAAGGACGTCCGAAAGAAGAATAAATAAACTCCATTTAACATTAATAGTACATAGTACACTATAAGGTAAAAAAAAGAAAACAATCTACGGCCATTTCAGAAAAATTATTGAGCTGGATGATTGTATAGAACAACCAATATTTATATAATATATTTAAATAATACAATATATTTTATGAAAAGTATATAATAATGTTTAGTTAATGATCTTACAATTTGTATTTATAGTATTTTTTATCAGTTTATAGTGTAAAATATTTTTCATTACCAATGCATATAAATCAAACCCTAATATAAATATTAAGTCACAAATAATTACTAATAATGAACATGTTAATATACTAATAAAATTGTTTATCACTATGTATTATTCTAAAGTTACAATATTTATATTTATAAAATTTAATTCAATTATAACTGGATAAAATTAGGTTTTTATATTTCTAATTCAAAACATAAATAAAAATATTTTAATTAATAGAGTTTAAATGCTTTAAATCTTTCTTCTTTTGAATCTCTCTGAATGTTCCAGTAAACAAATAATAGATAGAATGAATTTGTTTCATTTTATTCCTCACCCGTGAGGTTCTCTCTATATATAATATACATTTAACATTTGTTTATTATTTCATTCCAACTTTAACAATAATATCTTTATATCATATAACATACACCCGTGACTCATCCAAATATATATTTTTTTAGGTTTCACACTTGGGGGAACAAGTAAGATAAATTAAATGATTAAATATTCAAATAAAAATAATATAGCATTTAATTTTGTTAAAATTATTTGATGTGGGACAAATAATAAATGACTCTAAAGGTACCATTTTATGTTAGCTGACTAAGTTTTCAAATTCACCTTAAAAAAAACTTGCGAATCAAACTCGATCCAATTCTATTAAACCTATAAATAAAGTTATAAAAAAGTTAAAAAAAAAAAAATTTCAATTCAATTGAAGTTTGATAGATGGGATTGAGAAAAGTGTTAAAATCATATTAATTAAGATCCTAACACAGAACAACAACACTTCCTTTTCATTATTTATACATTGTTATTTGTTAGAGAAAGACGAATAAGTGGTGAAAAGGAAAAAAAGAATAAAAAAATTTATGAATCATTCTACGTACGTTACGTAGTGTATGTTATATATAAGATGCAGACGTTAATTGATCTGGTGCATCATTTAGACGCACTCACATCACATGCAACGAAACCCTCTCCATGCTATGCTGTTGTTGCCTTCATAGTCTTCTTCCGCTGTTCCCAACAGCGACAGTTCGCAGCATTTTATTTCTTTTTCTTAACTTCCTTCTCTGTCTTCCCTTCTACGCTGTGTAGCTTCTGTTCTCTGTTCAAGAAATGAAAAGACCGCAGAACAAGTTCATGTTATTTTACGATGTCAGCCTTTCATGATCTCTTCATTTCATTTGCTTACATGTCAAGAAACTTTCCCTATGCACTCCATTCCATTCTTGCTTTTCATCTTTATTTCTTCTTTCATCTAAACAAAGAGAAATTCTCACACTCCACTACCTCCTTTCTTCCCATGTTTTCATTTCATCAAAACCAAAAATGGGACTAATGTGCTACCTACGTAAGCTGTGCATGATGATTAATGCATAAAGAAGGAAAGAAAG